AACGCTGGTATACCGGGAGCGACTGACGGCGTGATCCGCGCCGAATCAATCGGCTCTTTTCAGGCCCACACAGAATACCACAATCGGCCCTTCTCAGGGCCACACACACACACACACACCTTGTATACTACGGATGTAAATACATTGTACATATCGTTGGAACCGCACTCTTATTATTCAGAACACCACTGCCGAGAAGAAACCTTGTAGAATTAAGTGTTTATCGACGACGGCAGAGAGGCTGAAGGCAACGGCCGCTGCCGCCCTATAGATATAGGCACGTTACAACCATCGCCAAAACTGGTGACCCCGACGTCCAAAATGGAGTCAGACAAGTCGATAATAATCGAGGAGAGTCCGCACACGGGCAAAATAAACATCCGAATTCCGCCATTCTGACCAGAGAAACCGGAATTATGGTTCGCGCAGATAGAAGGGCAGTTCGAGCTTTGCCGGATAGGGAGCGACCACGAGAGGTACATTCACGCTCTCTCGAAGATAGAACCGAAGCAAGCAAAGGAGGCCAAGGACATCATTATTAACCCTCCGAGCAGTGGAAAGTACGAAACCTTAAAAAAAGGCACTGGTACAGGGGCTAACAGACTCTCAGGAGTACAGAACACGCCAACTCCTGGAGACTGAAGAGATGGGAGACAAAAATCATCGCAGTTTCTAAGACATCTGGCAACTCTAGCCGGGACTGCAGTCCGAGAAGCTCTTGCGCACTCCGTGGCTAGGACGCCTGCCAGCCCAGACGCAAGCCATATTAGCAACCCGGGACGAAGATAATCTCAACAGCGTAACTGAGCAAGCAGACAGGATACACGAGATCGGCAGCAAAGCCGTGGTACTAGCTGCAACCGGACCACAGCCGACAAGCCCGAGGGAGGATACAATGGAAGAACTCCGGAAGCAAATAGCAGCCCTAACAACAAAAGTAGATAGGATGACCAGCGCCTGGGGAAAAAATAGATCCCAAAGCAGATCATGAAACCGACCTAGAAGTAGGAGGCACCGCCAGATTTGCTACTACCACCGGCGCTTCGGCATAAAAGCACACAAGTGCGAGCAACCGTGCCAATTCGCAACAAACGACAAGAGCGCGGAAAACCCCCAGGGCTCTCAATGATGGCGGCCGTTGAAAACAGCCCACGGTTATGCCACCTACACGTCACCGACAAGGTGACAGGACAAAGGTTCCTCATAGACATCGGATCAGACGTAAGCATCGTACCTCCGACACATAACAGGGGAAACCTAAAACCGACCCCGTACCAGTTGTACGCCACCAATGGTACTCTGATACTAACTTACGGCACCGTGGTACTCCAACCAGAATTCGGACTCAGAAGAGCGTTCCCCTGGAGATTCGTGGTGGCCAACACCACGCAGCCGATATTAGGAGCCGACTTCTTGGCACATTACAGCCTCTTGCCAGACATGCAAAGGAAGAGACTGATAGACGGAAGAACAGGCCTGGTGACTAGAGGTACTACGTGCATCACGGCGACGCCCTCCGTCAAAACGGTTGGCACCCAAACAAAGTATCACGCGGTATTAGCGAAATACCCGGGACTAACGAGCATCTCAGGACAACAGCGCGAGGCAAAACACGAGACAGAGCACTTCATAAAAACGACACCTGGCCCACCCGAAGCGTGCCGACCGCGCAGGCTGGCACCGGATAAGCTAAGAGCGGCCAGAACCGAGTTTGAGTTAATGCTAAAGGAGGGAATTATACAACCTTCAAAAAGCCCGTGGTCAGCACCACTACATCTAGTACCGAAGAAAGACCAAGCGTGGAGACCGTGTGAAGACTACCGCAAATTAAACGCCAGGACAGTACCGTGGAGGACTTTGCATACGCGCTACACGGAAAAACAATATTTTCCACGCTCGATTTGGTCAGGGCCTATTACCAGATCCCGATACACCCAAAGGACATACTGAAAACGGCAATCACGACACCGTTCGGCATGTTCGAGTTTAAATACAGTCTGTAAATTAAGTAAGAGCGTGTACAGGTTAATGTGTAGAAAAATTTATTTTTAATGATTTTTAAGTACATAGATTTGTTGCACTCCATGAAAAGAAAAATGCAATACCATTAATAATGAGTCCAGTCACCACCGGCATTGATAATTGCCTGACATCTCCGAAGCATACTTTCCACTAAGTTGACTGCGTATTTGTCGTGTCAGCTGCTTCAAAGTGCATACTCTTTTTCCTCAAAGTTTGTGCTTGAGATATGCCCACACATTTTCAATGGGATTTGCATCTGGCGATTGCGATGACCAATCAAGTGTGACGATGCCAGACCGCTCTTTCCACTCGGTGCAAAGCTTGCTCCGGTGTTTTGGGTCGTTGTCTTCCTGTAAGATCCAGTCCTCGTTTTTTTTATGAAACATCGTTCAGCAGTCGGCAACAAATACTTTTCATAAATTTGAAGCATTTTCGGAGCATTTAAATTGTATGTAAACAGATGTAATGCTTCAAAACTCTTTTGAAAAGCAGCCCCAAAGATGAACTTTTACAGGGTGTTTAACGGTCCGTTGTATTAATCTATTGGTCAAGGTTGACCAGGAACGTCGGATGGAAATATATCCCCAAACAGAAGCTTCGTCCGTAAAAATCACATTGCTCCAATCTCGGTCCAAATTCTCCTTTGCCTAAGCGAGTCTTTTCATCACATGTTTTTCGCCTAACAGTGGTTTCTTCATTGTGCTTCGATATTTGATGTTATGCGTAAGGAGATGGGTTCGAATAGTTGTATGTGATATTTCTATACCCTTCTGTTTTAATTTTGCTGCTCCTTGTCGCAATGTTAAGGTTCCGCTTAAACAAATTCACAATTTTTTTTCCATGTTCGGCGTCACTTTGCCTATCGAGCCACATTCTGGCAAGTCATCGACATTTTTTGTCTTCTTATATTGCTGAACCTACTTAGCGACGAACGATTTTGACTTTCTCATGTATTTAGCGCCGCTACATAGGACATTTTTGGTCCTTTCGGGTGGGAACAAAGGAACACAGCCTCGTAACGCGATGTGTATGCGGCACTCATAGCGGTTACCGTGTTTCTCAGATAAGAATTCGACACCAACTGAATCTTTTGTGACAAAGCATTCACGACAAAAGTTCCATCTATCGACTCACACAAAAACTAGGACGATATTTGAAGCCAACTGCCATTTATGCCATACACGCTCTTACTTTACAGACTGTACATGCCATTTGGACCACGAAATGCGGCACAGACGTCCAATGGTTCATCAATGACGTACTTCAAGACCTGGAATACTGCTACGTGTACTAGTAGCATCTAATACACCAGAAGAACATAAGCAGCACCTGCACGGTGTTCCAAAGGCTCGAAAGACACGGGATCAAAATCAACCCACCAAAATGCATCCTGGGAGAAAACAAAATAGCGTTCCTAGGGTATGAAGTCTCGGCCGAAGGGACAAAACCACTGGAATATAAAATAAACGCCATACGAGATTTTCCGAAGCCGACAACCATCAAGCAACTGCGACAATTACTGGGGATGGCAAATTTCTACAGAAGATTCATACCAGGAGCAGCCCAAACTCAGGCAACCCTAAACTAGGCGCTAAAGGTACGAATATGAAAGGAAGCGTACCGGTAGAATGGACACCCGAACGAGATATAGCATACAACAAGGTAAAGGAAAACCTGGCACAAGCAACTCTGCTAGCACACCCAAACGCAACAGCAGAGTGGCGACTGGTAACAGACGCATCAAACGTGGCAATAGGGGCAGTGCTGCAACAAGGGAAAGGACAGACCTGGCAACCACTGGCCTTTCTGAGCAAAAAATTAAATAATGCGCAGACAAAATACAGTCCCTACGACAGGGAGCTGCTGGCAGTATACTCGGCAGTCAAGCACTTCCGACATATGCTGGAGGGCTGTCCGTTCACTATCTGAACGGACAATAAGCCGTTAACCTACGCCTTCAATCAGGATCCGCTACGCAGCTCACCAAGACAGGCACGCCATCTAGAGTATATAAGCCAGTTCACAACTGATATCCGCTATATACTCGCAGGCAAGGATAATATAGAAGCCTTGTCCAGAATCGAGGAAATACGACAAGGAATCAACTTTGAGGACTTAGCCAAAGCCCAAGAGAGCGACAAGGAACTGCAAACGGTGCTAAAAGACAACAAAGGACTCCGGCTGGAGAGAGTACCCGTGTCCGGTACAAAAGCAGCCGTATACTGTGACACCAGCACAGCGATAGCACTACCGTACCTCACGCAGGAATTTCGCCGGCAAGCATACCAGTCGCTACACGACTTAGCGCATCCCGGCATAAAAGCAACGACCAAGCTGGTAGCAAGCCGATTCGTCTGGCCAAACGTCAAGAAAGATTGCAAACAATGGGCCCAGACATGCATCCAATGCCAAAGAGCCAAAATCACAAGGCATACCAAGATACCGGTCCATAATGTGGTGGGACCAACCCAGCGATTCGAACATATCCACGTGGACCTCGTCGGCCCGTTACCAAGTTCAGAAGGCTACCGCTACTGCCTAACGGTAATCGATCGTTTCACACGCTGGCTCGAGGCAATTCCAGTAGCCGACATAACGGCAGAAACCATAGCGAAACAGTTATAGGCACGTGGATAGCACGGTTTGGCGTCCCACTAAGGATAACGACGGACTAGGGTCGTCTGTTCGAGGCAAACTTATTCAAAAGGCTAACACAACTGATCGGAGCCATCCATTGGAGAACAACCGCTTACCATCCGCAGGCAAACAGCATGGTAGAACGCCTCCATCGGCAAATAAAAGCTGCCATCAAAAGCCACCAAACAAAGCGATTGACGGAGGTCCTCCTAGTAATATTAATGGGAATTCGAGCCGCGACAAGGGAAGACCTGCAGGCTACCTCCGCGGAGCTAGTCCTGGGGGAAGCTATACGGCTACCAGGACAATTCCTAACAAGCAAACCCTGCCGGAACTAAGAGGACCACAAATACCTGATCACGTTAAAAAAAGCCATGGAACATCTACAGCCGAGGCTACACGGACACGGAGAAAAGGCAACATTCGTCTTCAAAGGTTTAGAGAAGACACCTAAGGTCTTCCTAAGGCACGACGCACCGTCAAGAGCCCTGCAAGCACCATACGACGGATCATACGAAGTCCACCAACGGAATGAAAAAACATTCAAGCTAAAAATTAAGGGAAAACCAGTTCGCGTCTCGATAGATTGCCTCAAACCAGCATACACATTGAAGGAAGCTACTGAGACCGATAACAAGGACCAGATACCAGCACCAGTCACAACAAAGTCCGGAAGACAATCGAGACCGACAGTAAGGTTCATGCAGAAGATGGCTCCGCCACTACCCAAGGGGCCCTGTGGCAGCCACCAAGCGCCAACCGAACGAGAACCCGCCGCGTAGACTGAGGGCGCGCGGGCGAACACGCGAAGTTTCTCGCAAGTGCTCGCGACTTGCGAAATACAGGTACCGCGGCCGAGCCCCCAGGGGGCTGGCGCGACAAACGCAGATTCGCGTTCAAGTCTCGCCCGGCGGGGGATATAAACCCCGCCGCAGCGACGACAAATTGCTCATCGCACCCCGAGCCAGTGCGATATCCAGCGACGGCAAACCTGGAGAGGTACAGGACTCGACCAGCCAAGGTACCGGCAGGACCAAGGGCGCTGAAGCAGCAGACGCCTCCTCACCCGCAGCAG